AAATTTGCCAAGGTTCTCTTTACTGTTGTTTAAAACAAAACATTTACATCCAAAAGGATGAAAATAACTAATGTTAGGCTTTTATTTTTGAAAATTTCATATGGAGTTTTCTTTAAAATTGGCCTAATCATTACTCGATTTACAACATAACAAGCGGTATTTGTGGCTTCCGCCCAAAAATATTTTGGCAAATTATTTTCACAAAGCATGGTTCTAGCCATTTCTTCTAAAGTTCGATTTTTCCTCTCAACAACTCCATTTTGTTGAGGGGTTCTAGGTGCTGAAAAATTATGGCTAATACCATTATAATTACAAAATTCAATAAATCCAAGATTTTCAAATTCAGTTCCATTATCACTTCTAACACTAGTGATAGAGTAACCTTTTTCGTTTTGGATAATTTTTGAAAATGTGATGAAATGTTCTAATGATTCATCTTTTGTACTTAAGAATAGAACCCAAGTATATCTAGAATAGTCATCTACCAAGACACATGCATATTGTTTTCCACCCAAGCTAATAGTTCTAGTTGGCCCAAAAAGATCTAAATGGATCAATTATAAAACTCTACTAATTGATACATCATTAATGGATTTAAAAGAAACTCGCTTTTGTTTTCCTTTAGCACAAGCATCACAGATTTTATCATTATCAAATTTAAGCTTAGGCAACCCTCTTACTAGGTCTCCTTGAATTAACCGTTGCAAAACACTCATACTAGCATGTCCTAGTCTCCTATGCCATAACCAACTATCATGCTCATCCTTAGCAACTAGGCATAAATTAGTCATATCAAAAGAATCTAAATGCACCATGTATATGTTTCCTATTCTATGACCAACAATCATAATCCGATTAGATGCAATGTCAATGACTTTACAACCATTAATTTCAAATAAGATATTGAATCCTTTATCGCATAATTGACTAATACTCAATAGATTATGCTTTAATTCATTCACATATAAAAAATTTTTAATTTGTATGGAAGAGGTATTACCTATTGTACCAATACCTTCAATGTGACCTTTTGAATTGTCTCCAAAAGTCACTTCTCCTCCATTTTTGGCGCTAAGCTCAATGAACCGGCTTTTGTCTCCGGTCATGTGTCTTGAGCATCCACTATCAAGGTACCATGAATTTGAATTTGTTTCCCGTGCCTTGTAGCAATGTTCCTTTCCCTACAAACATAGATTACTTTTTATTTTTGGTACCCAAATTCTTTTGGGTCCATATTCATTGGTTTCCAAAATCCTAGTCCCCTTAGGTATCCATTTGTGTAGGATATCTTTATCTTTAGTAGTAATGAGTTCTTTAGAAACCCACATACTTCTAACGATTTTTCCATTAGAGGTTCTTTGGGGACCTCTATGATTGTGGTTTCTAAAACTTTTTCTAACAAAGTTAGATTTTGAATTTTCACCTTTTTCAAAATGTTTTGTTCCAACTTTATCAAAAGAAGTTTTAAGATCATCAATTTTCTTTTGATGATCATCATTGATCTTTGAAAGTAAATTTTGCAAATCTAAATTTTCTTTTCAAACTCTTCTAGTTTAATTTGCAAATCTTTGATTTTACTTTCAAGATCGTTTTTGGTTTTGGATATGAGTTTGTTTTCATTTTTCAATTTGAAACATCATTTTTATATTTTAAAAATAATTTCTCATAATCCGAAGCCAACCCATTATATTCCTCTAATAACTCATCATAGGATAAATAATCAAATTCGGATGAGTTAGAGGTTACCTTAGAATCTTCCCCGAATGCCATCAAGAAGAAGTTAGCTACTTCTTGTTCCTCTTCATCGGAACTTTCTTCATCGCTCCATGTAGCCACATGAGCCTTGTGCTTATTCTTTGATTGACCCTTTTTCTTCAATTGTGGGCAATCATATTTGACATGCCCCGACTTTTTGCATTCATAGTAAATGATTGGGTCCTTCTCTTTCGGTTCATTTTTGAGGCCTTCATTTCGTTTGAATTTTCTTCCTCGATAAGGTCTCATCATTTTTCTGAACCGTTTGGCAAACAATGCCATTTCCTCGTCATTCGAATCACTCTTATATTTTATGGATTTAAGAGTAACTCCAATGTTTTTCTTCTTCTCCTTCTCCTTTGGTGTCTCGTTAATCTTGTCGAGGTCCACCTCATCTTCGCGCATCATTTCATGAGTGAGGAGTGACCCAATTAGCTCTTCAAGAGTTAAGGACGTTAAGTCCTTAGACTCGATAATTGTCGTCTTCTTTGATTACCACGATTTTGGGAGGGAGTAGACTAACTTCCTCACAAGCTTTTCATTTGAAATGATCTCTCCATATGATTTGAGACCATTGACAATCGTTGAAAATCTATCCGTCATAGCTTTGATATCTTCATTTGGTTTCATCCTGAAATTTTCATAGCTATGCTTTAGAATACTAATTTTAGATTTCTTTACCTCATCGGTACCTTCATGAGTGACTTGAAGTTTATCCCATATTTCTTTGGTGGTTGTACACGATGAAACTCTTCCGTATTCATCTGGTCCAAGAGCACAAAAAATGATATAGATGGCTTTGGAGTTGAGATGAAACATTTTTGTCTCTCCTTCACTCCACAATCTTGGATGAGTGAGAGGCTTGATGTATCATTCTACTACGACATTCCATGCTCCCATGTCATTTGCTTGAATGAAGTACATCATTCTATTCTTTCAATAGGCATAGTTAGCTCCATTGAAGAAAGGAGGCTTGTTGACGGGCATCGAATCGAGACCGGAGTTGAAGTTTGAATCGGAGGCCATTGATGACTTTGATTATCGATATAACTCTTCCCGAATCGAATCAAGAGGCGATAAAACCTTCAAATGAGTTAGGCTCTGATACCAATTGTTGAGTTAATCGATTGACAAAATCAGCCAAGAGGGGGTGAATTGGCAATAAAAATTTTGGTGGAAGCTTTTGCAGAAAATTGAAAGAAATTGCATAGCAATTTAGAGTAGTTCGACTTTATCAACCAAAGTCTACGTCCACTACCTTAGCTATCCACACTAAGGATTTTCTAACAAATTCACTAATTTGTTATTTCTTTTGAGGCCAAAGAGATAACCTTACAACTCCCTCAAGAATATACCCCAATTCTTGAAAACACTCTTTTCTCAAAGAGAAATACAAATTTGCAAACTTACAAGAAAAACCTCACAAGGCAAATATGTTTGTACAATTTTAGAACAAAGAAAGAACACTCAAGAATAAATACAATTGAGCACAATAAGTATTCTTGAAAGCAAAATGAATATTGAATGAAAAATAGGCTTGAAATGCTCAAACTTGAGGTTTGATGCTTTCTCTTTGATTCTCTCTTGATTCTAGGTTCTTGATGTTTTTTGTTTTTGATCAATGGCTTCTAAGCTTGCTTAAATACATCTTGAATCACTTCTGAACGTTGGGAATGATTAGAGAAGATATTATAGCCGTTTTAGTGTGAAAACAATTAATAAAACAGCTTGGAGCGTGGGGGGAATCGGTTCCCTAAGTGTAAAATTCAAATATTTCGACTGTTATACAAGGGGGGAATCGGTACCCCCTGGGGGGGAATCGATTCCCTCCGAGCATACTGGAATTCTCGGAGCCAAACCATTCAGGGGGAATCGGTACCCCCTTGGGGGGGAATCGGTTCCCTCTGAGCAATCTGAAATTTTTGGCTTTGAAATGGATCAAAATACTTTGTAAAATTATTTTGAAATTGTTTTAAGATTAAAACTTAATTTTACACTTCAGTAAGGATTAAAAATGATTTTTGAAAGATTTGGAGTAATGTTTTGATATTCGAATAGTTATATCAAATATACTTAGAAAATCATTTGGAAAATCTTAAAATTCATTTAACTTAATTTGTTATATCGAAATATTAAAATGTTTTCAACAATGTGGGATTTATTATTATTATTTAAAATAAAAATAATTTAAAATATAAAATAAAAATAAATGGTGGTCGTCCACTGTTTTCGACGATGGACGCCACCATCGACAGCCGTAGATAATGATCGTTCTGTCCCATATTTCATGGGTTGCTTTGCCTCAATCCCTGAGTCCAAATCTGACTTCTATTTTATCGAAATATGCTCCGAAGTCCACAAATAAAAGACCGAAAGTGAGGAAATTGAAATGTTTCAATCGATATTCACGAGGTTTGGGACATTTTTTTGGTAAAATAACCACCATATTCGAACTCAACATGTCGAAACGGGTCTCTTGATATAATTTGAGATCAAATAGTTATTGATTTCGAAGGTCGACAGTGACGAGAAGGAGCAGTGAAAATATTATTTTATTATTTTTTAAAATTATTTTTATATTTTAATAATGATAAAGAATATCATGTTATAAAATAATGATAATAAAATAATTTATAGTACTCAAAACATGAGCAGTTGAGAAAGCTAAAAGTGAAATGAATAAAATAGGAGAAAAAAAATAAAGTTTAATAAAAAATATATAGTTTACCTTAAGTGGGATAGTGAACAGTATTAACTATTTTAATTAAAGGTAAATTTCATGTTTAATAATTAAAATATTATTTTTATTTCGTTTTAATATTCAAATTTTAATTTATTAAATTATATCTAATTTTATTTTAATACTCGCGATTAATAAATTAAACCATAGCCTAATAGTAGGCTAATTAAGGGTAAATTTCATGTTTAAAAATTAAATTTTTATTTTTATTTCGCTTTGTTATTCAAATTTTAATTTATTAAATTATATCTAGTTTTTATTTTAATACTCGCGGTTAATAAATTAGGGTAATCTATGTCAAATATCACTCATCTTTATGCTTGGGATCGAAAATGCCACTAACATTTCAATTTTGTCAATTTTAGCACAGACATTTATGTTTTACTCCAATTAAGCCGTCCCGTTGTTAATCCGTTAACGACACGATGATATGGCGTGTCAATGTCGTGACGGTGATGACATGGACGGCTTTTTTTAAAGTTATTTAGTCCATGTAGCATCTGTATTACCTGAGAAAAGTTGGAGATTCGCCACCACAAAACTCCCATTTCTTCACCACCACAAAACTCTCCCTCACTCTGTCGTCCACCACGCACGGTATCATCCATTGCAAGAAGCTCGACAACCTCGCTGGTGATTCGCTCTCCGATGACGAAAATCTTATAGCGTAACTTCTTGTCTTCTTAATTTTCTTTGCTTTCTTCTTGCTTTGCCACGTAGGATTTGTTTCCAGTATAATTTTTAAGTAGGTGTTGAACATCTCTGAGGGGGAATCAGTGGAGAAGCTCCTCGAAGATGAAACAAGAGTTTTCGTTTCTCTGTCGTTAATACCATAGTCTTCAAAGCTTTCATTGGTAAAGAATCTGCTCTCGACCGACGAGATGCCCATCCGGTTTTTCGACGTCATTTTCCTTTTTCTGCATCGCCATTTTTTCTTTACCGTGTTGGGAGGCACTGGAGGTGGAGTTAAATCGTCATCGTTTTCAAAGGTATTGTAGAATTTGCGACTGGGGCATTTGTTATCGTCGTAAACTTTCGCTATAACGTGAAATATGTCTTCTTTTTCCCAGTGGAACTCCAATGTCGACGGCGGTGATGATTCAATACGGCCACTCCAGTGGAAAATGCCTAAGTAGCAATGGAGACCATCGGATCTGCCATGACTGAAGAGATCAGTGGCGAAAACAGCGTTGATTTTGATCACGAGCATAAAATTGAGTGGTATTTGACATAGATTACCCAGTAAATTAAACCAACGGATCTGCCATCGGAGGAGGCCGACGGAGGGGCGGATTAAAATGAATATCGATGTTGCCGTGGATATAGTTGATGACCAAGCTGTCGTAGGTTGTGTATTTCATTCGGATCAAGGTGACTGGCTCTTTGGCTCCTCTCGAAGTACAGGTAATTGTTCAGTGTTGAATGCAAGGTTGTGGGCGATATGTGATGCGCTTCGACGTGCATAGAGACTTGGATATAGACGAATAGAATTGGAATATGATAATCTTGAGGCTATTGGTGGGCTTCTGAATTCTACCTCGAGTTATCAAGTTAATGCTCTTTTCGTTGTGATCAAAGAATTACTACAACGCAATGGGGAAGTTCGTCTTGGTCATGTTCAATAATTGAACAAATCAAATTCGAATATTCTAATGTTTAACTTGAGTAACTCTTGCTTGAATAGAAACAAAGATTTTGAAACCCAACAATGAAATAGAACTGTGTTTCCCTCGTCAACAACCCAACACAAATAAGCATTTCAGTTAAGGCATCCACAATGCATCAAATAGAAAACCATTTGTTCTGGAGAGTCCATGCTGGAAGTTCATAATTATTCTAAAAGTTGTAACATCTCGAATGCATTTGTATACCTCGGATTTCATGTCGGCATACGCTCATTCAACAGTTTGACAGGAAAAAAATCATAGATAACAGACCAAAAACATCATGACTCGTACCCTTCGATGATCTCAACCGCAAATGAACTTTCAATCACCAAGTTCGATTGACTATCCATATCAAACAAATCATGAAATGAATGAAACAAACAAAAAAAGCTTCACGGAAGTTTTTATTATACCTCGGAGTTCGATTAACTTTCAAATATGACATAAGGTATCTCATAGCTATTATTATGCACGATATCATAAGGTCCTTTATCCAATCTATTAGCTTCACTGGTACTGTGGCTCTCCTGCAGTGCTTAGGCACACTTCAGGAGGATACAGAGGTAACCCAGCTCATTGGCATCTCTTAATACGGGTATTCCAGTAATTTTTTATCTCATTAGCTGTGCGACCGCGTAACAATTTTATTTGGGATTCAAACATTATTAATTGGAGTTTTAAAATTTTAAAACTTTATAGAAAAGAAAACAGAAAAATATAATGTAGTTTAATGGTTAAGCATTTAGTTTAATTTCAAGAGATTTAGGATTCAAATCCCTCTAGTAGTATAACATTTTAATAATTTTTTCCAGCAAAATGACGTCGTTTGTCTTTATTAAATATCAAAATAGTTGTGTTAAAACGACGTCGTTTTGGTAAGGCATCCAAGTCATCACCGTCACGGCCCGTCCATGCCATATCATCGTGCCGTTAACGATTAACGGTGGGGTGGTTTAATTAGAGTAAACATAAACGTCGTGTTAAAATTGACAAAATTAAAATCAGTGACATTTTTATCACGAGCATAAAATTAAGTGGTATTTGACATAGATTACCCATTAAATTAAACCATAGACTAATAGTAGTAATTTTGAGAAAAATATCGGGACCAAAACCATAGCTTGAGATTTAGAAAACCCTGCAGAGTCCATTAAAAGGCGAAATAAAATTTCCAATCAACCCTGTAGACTCCATCTTTAGTCCAAAAGATGAAGATAGCAGTTGAAGGATGTATGCATGGAGATCTTGACAAGGTCTACGAAACCATTAGATACATCGAAAACACTCGCAACATCAAAATCGACCTCCTCATCTGTTGTGGTGACTTCCAGGTTCTTCCTCTCATATTTCCAGTTTCTCGCTTCAATCTTGACGAAAATTTTTGTTCTTTCAAGTACCCAATTCTGATTTTAATTAATTTTTATTTTGGAACTAAGGCAATCAGGAATGAGAAAGATATGGAGAGCCTTAATGTGCCCCCAAAGTACAAGGAGATGAAGTCATTCTGGAAATACTATTCGGGACAGGAGGTTGCCCCGGTTCCCACCATATTTATTGGTGGAAATCATGAAGCTTCCAATTATTTATGGGAATTGTAAGCCAGCTCTTTCAAACCAGCTCAAAGTTTTTTTTTTTGGGGTGGGTCGGGGGTGGGGGTGGGTGTGGGTTGGGGTTGCAGAGCTTTAAGTTTGATAAATGTTCTAGCTTGGGTATTTTGCTTCTTTTATGAAAAGGCCTTAAATCTTTATTTCTGCAATTGAAATGTGTGTTCTCTTTTTTGCTCAATAGGTATTATGGGGGATGGGCAGCACCTAATATATACTTCTTGGGATTTGCTGGTGTTGTGAAGTTTGGCAATATCCGAATTGGTGGACTTTCTGGAATTTACAATGCGCGTCACTACCATTTAGGTTGGTTGAAGTTCTTGTTATTTGTGTTTATTTTAGTGCCTCCAAAGGTGATTGTTTATTTAAAAGAAAGTGAGTAAAAGATATGGTATGGTAGAGTCTCTGTTATTACATAAGTTTGAAAGCTTTGAAACTGAAACAAATTAGCTTTCTCTTGAGCAGGACACCATGAAAGGCCACCTTATAATGATAATACTATCAGGTCTGTGTACCATGTTCGTGAGTATGATGTTCACAAACTCATGCAGGTGGAGGAACCAATTGATATTTTTCTTTCACATGATTGGCCACTTGGAATCACTGATTATGGGAACTGGAAACAGCTTGTTCGCTACAAGAAACATTTCGAGGATGAGGTAATTGTAATTGTTTTGGTTGAAATGGCTAAATGTATCGGAATAACAAATTTCTTATAATCTGCCTTTGGTGCATTATCTCATAACAAGCTTATTCAGTTTTCTTGTTGACCAATCCTGGTTCCTTGGTTGAAACATATTTCTCAGATCCAGCAGGGAACTCTTGGAAGCAAGCCTGCTGCTCAACTGCTTGAAAAACTCAAACCATCTTATTGGTTTTCAGCTCACTTGCACTGCAAATTCACTGCTCTTGTTCAGCATGAAGAGGGTGGTCAAGTGACAAAATTTCTTGCACTTGATAAATGCCTTCCTGGGCGCAAGTTCTTGCAGGTATCTTTCATAAGTTTTGACTGTTTCCTGTAGTTTCTTTCTGTGGTCTTTGCCGGAAGCTAATATATGAATTCTGGCTTTCTCTTATCTTTTAGATTGTTGATATTGAATCTGATCCAGGACCTTATGAGGTTCAATATGATGAAGAATGGCTGGCAATAACACGAAAATTCAACTGTGTCTTCCCTTTGACCACTCGACTTGGAGACTTTAGGTGTGTATATATGGCATTTTTGTTTTGGCCATGCCGCTTCTTGCTCTCTCTGTCTCTTGGGTGGGGTTGGACTGGTGAATTATTTAAAAATGAGCAATTTTCGGACTGTTTGTAATTCCTATTACTCTAGAAGAATTAGTGAGCCAACAACTGATGTTCTAACGTGCAGGAGTACACAGCTTGATATGCAAGATTGTCGTAATTGGGTTAAGAGCAGACTGGAAAACAGAGGAGCGAAACCTTGTGAATTTTCTCAAACTGTTCCACCTTACAACCCCTCCCATTCAGTTTCAAACACTAATTTTTCTGGTAAAATTTGTGTATTACCCTGGTAAAATATTATAGTGATATTTTATAAGGTGTATTATATTAATGATATAGCTAAGTCTCTTGTCATTGTCAAGAAATTTAGGAAATTTTATATATAATGGTTCTAAAATTTCAGATATATATGTCACTTAGCTGTTATGATTTGACATCTCGATATTACTATCAATTACTATTCTTCATTTTTGTTCATTTAGCTCAATTGATTGTTGGTTAGCTTATGCATTCCCCTCTACTCTAGATTTACAGTTGGAATGATTGTGACTTTTATATCCTTTGTAGGTTCTCCCCGTAATCCTCAGACTCTATCTTTCTTGGAATTGCTAGATCTTCCTTATGTTCTTGATAATGTATCAGGATCCAGGGATAGTCCTGCTCCTGCATCATTGACTCAAAGGGGTAAGAAATTTCTATTTCACTTGTTCCGCTTGGTTTTGGTGCATTGACTCTTCATCTGATATTTGGTGGCTTCCATTAACCTTCATTGTAATGCAATTCAAAATATAGAATGAACACGATTGTTGGATTACCTTTTACTTATCGTGTTTAATATTGTCACTGATGCTCTTATATTCAAGAGTTCAGATATCTTGTTCACAGCTTAATTGGATAATGGGAAAAAAGTAGGATAATTGATCATTTGCTTTTGAACCTGGTAGAACGTAGAATTCCGTATGTTCTGAGCATCTGTGAGTGTCATATGTGGAATGCAGCATAGCAATAACTTTGCCTCATACAATTTGACTGAACCATCCTTTAGCATTTATGATAGTGTGCTTTTTGTTTTTCCGGTTCATTAGATGATTACAGTGAAGACATTCCCATTGAAGATGAGGATGAACTAGAAGATGATAGTGCAGAACCCGACAATGAAAACCAGTAATGATGAAGTGAAGAATGTTTTCCATGGATGAACAGATTTACTAGTGAGGTGATCAATGGAAAACTACTTATTGGTTGGGCAGTTCTTGTTGCTACTCAATGAGGCCTTGTTCATGTGTGAAGTTGGCGACGTAGTTCTTGATGGATGGCCCTCAGTTTTCCAACTTTCATCAGCAAAGATAAAAACTTGCACTTTTCAGAGTCTTTATGCATCAAATTAACAAAAGTCGGTTTAAGTTCATGTGTTTATTAATTAGCTGTATTTTTCTTATGTTCCCGACGTACAGGATCATCGGACAAGGCATAGCCACTTTGTCAGGCATATTAACCTGTTGTTTTTCAATTATATAAAAAAAAATACTTTCAGATAGTGGGCATTGGTTACAAAAATGGAAAATCTATGGTACACATTACATCATGTCAACTACCAATTAGGATCTGCCACGTTAGAAAAAGAAAAGAGGTATACATTTGGTTTTCTTTAAAAACAAAACATCGAGGAAAATGTGATTAATAAAATAAAAATTTACGTTGTTTTGTAAAAAAAAAAAGTAAATTACCTTCTAAGTTAAATTATGAGTGAAATTTTATTTTGATCATTGAACTAAAAATTTTATCAACAAGATAATAAAAATTTTATTTTAGCGTCAATCAAGTCACCTCTTGTTAAGTTTTAATGTAATCGATGGTTTGAGATAATAAAAATATTTTTATTTTTATTACTTTTACATTATATCAATGTAATCTTAATTGATCAAAATGAAATCGTACTCACAATTTAATGAACTAAAAATAGTTAAACTAATAATAATAATAATTTAAGACATTTCCATGTCCAATACTCCAAAACATTTGGGTTAGCTGGTTTATGAGTTGGATCACATTTAGATGTTTGTCCAAGGGTGTCATATATGTTGGTCTTGTCCGATGTTGGTCTTGTCCTTCTTGTAAGATTATTAAAGGAGGTAATGAACCTGTGACCCCATTTACAAATCTTTGCTTTTTAATTTTGAGTTTCAGGGAAACTTTGATTCATAAACTGGGTTAACATCCTCTTCAGCTTTTCAAAAGCTCACAACTTCAGCAGATTCAACTTTGTTCTCATGTCCGAGAAACTGAGTTGACCCCGATCAATATCGTTGCCTTTTAGTTTACAGCTATGGTGGAGGAAGGTGATGAACCCAATGGGTTGTGTTACTGTTTTTGGGGTCCAATTAATTGGCTTAAAATGCTTGCACATTGCAGGCCATGTTTCTATCCTTCGCACAGAGCTTTAAAATAAATGAGGGATCGTTCTATCGGTACACCGACTCGATGGACGGTCCCTTAATCTCTCAGGTATATGATCTCCTTGATTACCGAAGAGACCCAAGTGTGTATATTGATGCGGGTGAGTATTACATTTTCTCAATTGGTGCCATCTTGATTATCTATTTGTTGTCATCGGTGAAACTGTGACTCGATTAATTTTAGACACAAATGGATGCCCCTACTTGTACTTTGTCCTTCAGGCACCTTCTTTTCCTTGCTGATGTTCATTGACAATGTTGGGACTCTTCTCATCTTCATGGGGAGGTGACTTGCTGCTTCCCTTGCTGAATGTTACTGGTACAAAGTTCAAGAATCTATGGCTGCCAATATTGATTCCAAACATGTTGAGACTTTCACCATTCCGTTTTTGATACCAAAGAGGTGATTCCAGTTCTTCCATCCTTCCTACTGAAATGTTGAGTTGAAAAGACGAGATCGAGGCTGAAACCAAAGCTGAAGAACCCAAGAACATTGAGTTGGTCTCTCTTGTTAACAGCGTCGATGGTAGGTAATGGTTGACTTTAATCATTCACATAATTCAAAGTCACTTGATACGCTTTTACAGTCCCTCAAGAGAAGGGAATCAACTAAGTTGAATTGAAATCAATGAAAGCTAGGCAATGGGATGCATCTCTCTCTCATTTCATTCTATCCCTCCCTCTCTCTCTACCTCTATCTCTGTCATGGTCATCCCTCTGCTTCCACTCTTTTCCCATCGGTCTCGCTCCCTATCTCTCCCCCTTTCATTTTGCACATCATGATATATATCTCTTTCTCTGTGCCTTTCACGGTCCTTTTCTGAATCGTTTACTCTGTCCCTGCCTCTGTTTGATGGTTTCATTGGAGGTCTCTCACTTTGGCTTTGACTCCGATGCCGCTTTCTTGAAGAGTCATGCACATCATCCCACCTATCTCTCCTCTCTTGATGTTCTTTCTGCAATTTCAATAGTGTAAAAAATGACATTACTATATGCATTCAATTTTGAAAGAGACACAATTACTAGTCTTCACAAGTATCAGTATCTTGTCAACCGGCAAAATAACTTCTTCCTGAAATATCTTCAGTGGAATATGATAAACCATATTCAGATTCAAGCTGTTTTCGATGAACCGCAACCCTTTTCTCAATATCCTCGGCGTTTTTAATTCATTGTTCCTCGAGGGATTCGCGGTATTCAATAAGAGCAACCTCCAGCTGCCCTAACTTTTGCCTATGGTGTTATATACATGAAAAAGCAACGTTAAGGACTGCATGAGCGAATGCAGTTGCTAAGAGTTTATAAGAACATTTTGTTTTGTTTTCTGTAGCATTAAGAAATAAAGAACTTGCTATAATTAAAAAATTGCAATACCTCTGCTCTTCATTCATTGCACTTTCAGATAGAACTGGAACGTTTACCTCAGTTCCAAAGTCCAATTCATCAGCCTTACTAGGACCATCACCAGCATTCTCACTTCCAGAAGACGAATAGCTCAACCCCAGACCCTGTGAGCTTCTCTTTCCTTCATCATCACTGTCATTATCCTCCCTGGACCATTTTGAGGCTGGTAAAACAGGATCAATTTTCTCTTTCTTTGTGAATGCTTTTAGTTCAGGCTGTGGGATTGGAAGGGTTTCGGTCAGAGGTACAGACCCTTTGCGTTGTAAAGAGATCTCATCCTCTGCATAACGAGTCCGTCCAGACAATCCCACTGCTTCTGCTTCAATGTTTGCACCTCTCTGGCCACTAGAACATCGACTATAACTAGATCGCTGTTTCAACTCATCATCTAGGTCATAACCCCTCCGCTTTTCGGCATCTTCTAGACTTAATAGTCGTGCAACCATTATTTCTCTACCACCAACAAGTGATAATCCATTATGTCTACACCGTCTTACCAACTCAGCAAGTGGGAGATCCATTAACTCCTTCATAGCAGCACCTTGCCCATGGCCAATGCAGTATCTTAATTAGCTTTAATCCCATCAACTGCATCTTCCATGCTAATCTTCTTTTCAATTTCTGGTGCATCACCACAATATATGGAATGGCACCACACCAGAGTTTCCTGATCTAAGAAAAGTAGCCCGCAGTCCGTTCACATATGCATCTGAAAAAGAAACCAATCTGACCATGCTTGCAACACTTTCAGAACCCGTTCCTGCAGAATGAGAATAGGTCACCTTAAAACTCAAGAACAGAGATAATAACCATGCACACAGCCACAAGCTGGTTCATTTAGCAGCACCCACAAAACAAAACAGCAATTAGAACAGGATAAAGGGTTAAAATTATACCCACCTTCAGGGCTTCTGCAGTGATCCATCCTGTTACACTGCGGTACAAATCATTAAAACTCTCCATTATATCAGGTAAAATTGCTTCAAATTTGGTGCGGTAAGCAGATGCATTTTTAACAGGAGCACTGCTATTATGAAGAATGTCAGAGACAAGCATAAGCCTTGCAATTTTTGTTGGGATAGGTGTTTCTTTAAGTGTCAAAGACTCTGTCATACTTCAACCCCTGCATTGCAAGAAAGGGGAAAAGAGCATCAAATTAATGTCTCATGTTGAAAATTCAATATTAGCTTAAATAAGTTCACACCAAAATTAATTTGATGTCATTGCTTACATCAATTTAGTTTTGATGTCATTGCTTACATCAATTTAGTTAGCTGAAAATTAAGTATTTTTCTCATGTTTTAATTTCAATGGTTTAAATTATTTAGTATTTATTTTAATGAGTGGTTTAGATTGTTTCTTGTAACCTATAAATACCCTACTTGTATTTGAGTTTTATCATCCAACAATCAAAGCTTAATTATAAGCATTTGAAAGCTTTCTTAAGAGTTCTTCCCTTTTACAATTTTGTGAGATTATTCTAAAGAGTTTTTTCTTCTTATCGATCAATTAGAGTTTTTACTCTATTTTAATTCAACATCTCACACTATTGTTTAAGATTTAGAATGCAGAAGGATAAATAGTATTGTGCAGATAGTCACTTGCCAGTACTAGACTTTGGATGTTTTACCCCTGGCCTTTTAAAAAAATCATTTTGGTTAACAATTCTACACTCTAACTTTCAAGAAAATGAATCGTCAAGGAGCCATAACAGTTTGAGAGTAGAAGACAACTTTAAGATGATGAAAGTCAATAAGGTGTGCTGCAGATAAGCAATACCTCTCCAGCAGCATCAGAATTATCCAAAGCAAAACCCATGGCCTCCTTTATCTGACACCTCTCCAATGTCAATGCCCGTAGCATGTCCTAAAATTTTCCCTTTGTGGATCACTAAGTGTTCTTTCTGGTCCACCCGCGTAAATA